CCTCCTAGCTTCCCTCACACCTCATACTCCACCTACATCCCAGAAAACAATCCCAGAGGTATCTCAATCTTCTCTGTGACTGCCCACGACCCTGATAGTGGCAACAATGCCCAGGTCACTTATTCTCTGGCCAAGGACACGCTTCAGGGAATGCCTCTCTCCTCCTATGTCTCTATAAACTCTGACACTGGTGTTCTCTATGCACTGGGCTCTTTTGACTATGAGCAGGTTAGAGACCTGCAACTGTGGGTGACAGCCAGCGACAGCGGAGACCCTCCACTTAGCAGTAATGTGTCACTGAGCCTGTTTGTGTTGGACCAGAATGACAACACTCCTGAAATCTTGTACCCTACCATCCCCACGGATGGTTCCACAGGAGTGGAGCTGGCACCCCGTTCCGCAGAGCTTGGCTATCTGGTGACCAAGGTGGTGGCAGTGGACAGAGACTCAGGCCAGAACGCCTGGCTATCCTACCGCCTGCTCAAGGCCAGCGAGCCAGGGCTCTTTGCAGTGGGGCTGCACACAGGCGAGGTGCGCACTGCGCGGGCCCTGCTGGACAGAGATGCGCTCAAGCAGAGCCTGGTGGTGGTCGTCCAAGACCATGGCCAGCCCCCTCTCTCAGCCACTGTTACACTCACTGTCGCAGTGGCTGACAGTATCCCAGATGTCTTGGCTGACTTGAGCAGTTTTGAGCCCTCTTCTGATCCTGATCACTCCAGCCTAACACTGTACTTGGTGGTGGCAGTGGCTGCTGTCTCCTGCCTCTTCCTTGCTTTTGTCATAGTGCTGCTTGCTCTCAGACTGAGGCGCTGGCACACATCACGTCTGCTCCAGGCTTCAGGAGGGGGATTGGCAGGAGTGCCCACCTCACACTTTATGGGCGTGGACGGGGTGCGAGCGTTTCTGCAGACCTATTCCCATGAGGTCTCCCTCACTGCTGACTCGAGGAAGAGTCACCTGATCTTCCCACAACCCAACTATGCTGACACTCTGATCAGCCAGGAGAGCTGTGAGAAAAGCGAACCTCTTCTGATATCTGAGAAGATAAATGCAAACGAAGAACCAGAAGTTGTTCAGGTGAGTTTTCTTTTTCAGTAGGGTTGCTTGGAGCATTTTGTTCATTTGTTTCCTCAGTTATTTTTCTTCCACATCCAAATACGTCAATTATATAAATAGTGTATTATTATTTGCTTCATTTAGAGGTTAGCTTAATTTAATTTGATAATTGATGCTTTCTCCATTTATTTTTAAATTATATTTTGGGTATAGTATCTTATTTTTTCAATACATGGATATTATAGAAAATTTAGCTGATATCCAGATTTAAATGAAACAAATACTTTAATTTGTGCTGGTATGGCTCAGTGGTAAGAGCATCACCCGCAGACCAGAGAGTCCCAGGTTCGATTCTGGCCAAGGGCACATACCTCTGTTGGGGTTCATCTCTGGCCCTGGTTGGGGTTGTGTCGGTGGCAACCAATTGATGTGTCTCTCTCACATCAGTGTTTCTTTCTCTCACATCAGTGTTTCTTTCTCTCTTCATCTCTTTCTTCCTCCCTCTCTCCCTCCAGTTCTATCTGAAGATTAACATTAAAAAATATCCTCAGGTGAGAATAAAAAACAAAACAAGTACTTTAAAAGTGGTTAAACATAATCACTTTACCCAAAGAATTATTTATATTCAGAACTTTTATTATGGTAATGGATGAGTTGTTTGATTAGTCCAGATTGTTAGATGTAATGTTGTTCTTTAAATATTTGCCTAAACACCAAATAGCAAATATGTGGAAATAATTTACATATTTGGATAAATCACTGGAAAAATACTGCATGAAAAATATTAGAAATAAGATTAAATTTATATTGATGATAGTGTCTGTGTCATTCTGAAATCTGGAAAGTTTTTGAGTTAAACTATGAAATTATTGGATGTGTGTATTCACTGAGAAAAGAAATCAGTGAGGAGCCTAAGAATTGTGCTTTATTCTGTGATGCAGTTTTTAATCTCCAAAGATTTAGATACCGCTACATTCATTAAATTCAAATATGCTACACACCTGGCATCTTGTGGTTATAGGTAATCCTTTCACTTTACAGAATCGATATCTACCAGAATATTTGCATACAATTCTGCTTTATTACAAGAGTCTAAGATTTGTGTTTGGAAAGTCAATTCAACTTTAAAATGGTTTCACATTTAAAAATTCATTTCTCAGGGCTGTGTTTATCTTAAATTAAAATATTTTTCTTAATAAAACGCTGATCTATGGGTCTCAAATTTCATAAGTGTATGTTGTGTAATGGAAGAACTACCCTATTCATTTTTTGTATTTGCTTTACTAAAGATGATTTTCAGAGCCTTTTAAAGGATTTTTTAATCTTTCAAGTTTGTGCTTTCAACAACTTGAACATCAGTTACAATGTATGAATAAAATATTGTTAATAGGATAGTAGGCTACACTACTTGAACACATTAAAGGTTTATTGATACATTTGGGAACCCAGGACCACTTTTTTCTTTTAAATGCTTTTTAAACATTTATTTGAAGGGGGTCCAAATATATTTATATATGGACAATTCTGACCTCAATGTAAAATGTACAGACTTGCTAAATAGTGAGTGCCTCCAAAGAGTAACAAGAGCCCTGGCTGGTTTGGCTCAGCAGTTAGAGTTTCGGCCTGTGATCCAGAGAGACTGGGGTTTAGTTCCTGCTAAGGGCACGTACCTAGGTTGCAGTTTGTCCCTGGCCCTGGTTGGGTCATGTGGGAAGCAGCCACTGGATGTGTCCCTTTCATGTCGATGTTTCTCTCTCTTCCTCTCTTTCTCCCACTCTATCTGAACAAAAAAATGGAAAAATGTCCTTGAGTGAGAATAAAAAAACAAACAAACACAAAGAGTAACAAGAGAGCCTGGCTGGTTTGGCTCAAGGGTTAGAGTTTCGGCCTGCAGTCCAGAGAGACCTGGGTTCGGTTCCCTCTAAGGGCACGTACCTTGGTTGCAGTTTGTCCCGGGCCATGGTTGGTTGTGTGGCTGGCAGCCACTCGATGTGTCCCTTTCACGTTGATGTTTCTCTCTCTCTTTCTCTCTCTCCCTCCCACACTATCTGAACAAAAAAATGAAAAAAAAATGTCCTCAGGTAAGGATAAAAAAAAAAGAAGAAGAAGAGTAACAAGAGAATCTGTATAATAGATGCTGATATCATTTACTCCTACATAAAAACTCACTTTTGCATTATTTTTTAAAGAAAAAATATAGCCCTGCCAGTTTGGCTCAGTGGTTGGAACATAGGCCTGCAGACCAGAGAGTCCCGGGTCCGGTTCCCACTAGGGGCACATACCAAAAGATAGATAGATAGATAGATAGATAGATAGATAGATAGATAGATAGATAGATTTGGGTATGTGTCCTGAGTTAATTTTTTCATGCACTGGAAAAATACCCTTTAAACCTCTATGTACTTTACAAACGTCAATCGACTTTAGATTTGTGCTTGGAGAATCAGTTCAACTTTCAATTTTTAAAATTTATTTCTCAGGGACTGTGCTTATCTTAAATTAATAATTTTTTCTTAATAAAATGCTGATTTATGGTTCTTAAATTTTATGAGTATATGTTATGTATACTTTACATAATAAAATGTTTGATTCACACACTCTGAATATATATATTACATATATTCTATAGTCTTTTAAATATTTGACTCTAGTTTCATATGTGTTCTGAAAAGATAACTTTCCTGTACTAATTGAAGGATTCACACAGTGGTGGAAAGGCACTTGCTCAGTCGTGTTTTGGAACAAAGTTTGAGTCAGTAGTGCTTTTATGTTTATATAGAGATGCCAATGAGTTTCTGTCTAGAATCCTGAATAAACTGAATGGTTTAAGATGCTCTAATACTATTCAATTATGAGTTTAACATTGCTACACACCTGTCAGATTTTAGAATGACAATGTATTGTGTGGGTTTAAAACACTTTTTATGAATATTTCTAGTTTGGAAATAGAATGGAAACCATAAGATATCTACCAGAAACAGGGAAATTGGCATGCTTCATTAACCAGGAAAGAGTGTCAATAACAAAGGTTTAGAACGATAAGATTATAACCTGGGGACTGAGGAAAAGTGGGCAACATAGATTACTCTCTTTGAGATATATAATCATAAGGACTCATACTTCACTCCTATAATTCATATAATTCACCACTGTTAAGACACTTGAGAAGAAACAATTAAAACATTTAAAATGATGGGACTGTATTATGAAAAGATAAAATGAGTAGAATAATTTTAAAATTATAGTCATTTAATTAAAAGTAAACACTTGGAAACTAAGGAAAATAGAGTATCTTGCTTCTTACCATACTTCTATTTTGTAAGGACAACCAGTCTCCTTGATATCTATCAATTATTTTGGGAAGAAGATAATAAAGATAAGATAGAAGAACTTTTATAAGTTAGAAGAAAAGAAGATAGAGTGGAATAACAATACATACCAAATTATTATTTTGAGAATTTAAGTATTACACCTTCTGCTACCACCAACACTGTCTTTCATTTGTATTATTTTCTATATATTATTTTATGTAGTCCTCAATTTTACTAAGCTAGTCAAAGAAGGTGTTATTCTGACCATATTATGACAATTGAGACAAACAAAAAAAAAGTCACCATTAAGCCAATAAATGTCTTCAGTAAGGTACCGCTGCTTTTTGACGAGTAAAAATTACTTGATTTGGATGAGTGAAGTTAACATTCAAAGAAATGACATCCGGACTGAAGATATAGTACATATTTAAAATGTTATACCCTTGTATAAAGGGAAGAAAGGGTATCTATATCAAGACACAGTGGAGTTGTCATCTGGGCCGCTCCGTATTTGGAGTTTAGTAACCACTACTGCAGTTCTGCAGCCGAGACGCGGGGTGCCGCTGTCGGCTAGTACTGAGCGTAGTGTCAGCTCCTTCTGACTGACACAAAGGACTCGCCATCAGACCGCGGAATCGAAAGAACGGTGCACTCTTTCTCCGGCTCTCTGCGGAGGAGATACCCATCAGAGAATTTGTCTGCCAAGACAAATCAAGGAATCGCTCTTGCTCGGAGAATTCTTGGGATCATTTAGCGATCGCTGCTCTTCGGAATCAGTAAGGCAGAGGCTCAGAAAGCGGGATGCGAAACCTCTGGGGACCGCAGGGCCTGACCGGGCGGAGGCGAATGCTTTTTCTCCTGCTGCTGCCTTTGTTCGGCCCCGCGCTCTCAGAGCCGATCCGCTACACTATTCCGGAGGAGCTGGCCAGGGGCTCGCTGGTGGGGAATCTCGCTAAGGATCTGGGGCTTGGCGTGAGAGATTTGCCCACTCGGAACCTGCGGGTTAGTGGCGAGAAGAAATTCTTTACAGTGAGCACCGAGAACGGGGACTTACTTGTGAGCGACCGTATAGACCGAGAGCAGATTTGTGGCAAGAAGTCGATGTGTATTCTGGAATTCGAAATGGTTGCTGAAAAGCCTTTGAACTTTTTTCATATAGCCGTAGTGATTCAGGATGTCAACGACAACCCACCGACCTTCAGCCGAAATATCACTGAACTGGAAATCAGTGAACTGGCTCTAACTGGAGCCACCTTTGCCTTGGAATCTGCACAAGACTCAGATGTAGGAGTTAATTCCCTGCAGCAGTACTACCTTAGCCCCCACCCACACTTCTCCTTGACCCAGAAAGAGAACCCTGATGGCAGTAGGTACCCAGAACTGGTAGTAAAGGCTCCCCTGGACAGGGAAAAGCAGTCCTGCCACCACCTGGTCCTCACTGCTATGGATGGGGGTGAGCCTGCCAGAAGCTGCACCACCCAAATCAAGGTGGTTGTGGCAGATGCAAATGATAACCCCCCAGTGTTCACCCAGGATGTGTACAGGGTCACTGTTCCAGAGAACCTGCCAGTCGACTCCTCTGTGCTAACAGTAATGGCCACTGACTTGGATGAGGGCATCAATGCGGAGATCACCTATGCTTTCATCAACATTGGTAAGGCAGCGAGACAACTGTTCAAGCTGAACAGTAAAACAGGGGAACTCTCCACTGGTGGAGAACTGGACTTTGAAGAGAAAGAACGCTATACAATTGGAGTAGAAGCAAAGGATGGTGGACGTCACACAGCACATTGTAAAATACTGATAGATATTTTGGATGAAAATGACAATGCTCCTGAGATAACCCTGGATTCTGAATCTAAACATATACAAGAAGATGTAGAGCCGGGGACTGTTGTTGCCCTGATCAAAACACATGATCTGGATTCTGGATTTAATGGGGAAGTCCTATGTCAACTAAATGGAAATGTCCCATTTAAAATAGTTCAAGATACAAAAAACACATACAAGTTGGTGACAGATGGAGCCCTAGATCGAGAGCAGACTATAGAATACAACATCACCATCACAGCCACTGACAAGGGCAAACCTCCCCTGTCCTCCAACAGAAGTATCACCTTGAACATCGCTGATGTCAATGACAATGCTCCTGTTTTCCACCAGGCCTCTTATATGGTCAACGTGGCAGAAAATAACCCACCCGGTGGTTCCATAGCGCAGGTCAGCGCCTCCGACCCCGACCTGGGACCCAACGGCCATGTCTCCTACTCCATCGTGGCCAGCGACCTGGAGCCAGGGACGTTATCTTCCTACGTGTCCGTGAGCGCGCAGAGCGGGGTGGTGTTCTCGCAGCGCGCCTTCGACCACGAGCAGCTGCGCGCCTTCGAGCTGACTCTGCAGGCCCGCGACCAGGGCTCGCCCGCGCTCAGCGCCAACGTGAGCCTGCGCGTGTTGGTGGGCGACCGCAACGACAATGCACCAAGGGTGCTGTATCCGGCGCTGGGGTCCGACGGCTCGGCGCTCTTCGACACCGTGCCACGCGCTGCTCAGCCAGGCTACCTGGTCACCAAGGTGGTGGCGGTGGACGCGGACTCAGGACACAATGCTTGGCTGTCCTACCACGTGCTGCAGGCCAGCGAGCCCGGACTGTTCAGCCTGGGGCTGCGCACGGGCGAGGTGCGCACAGCGCGAGTTTTGGGAGACAGGGACGCAGCCCGCCAGCGCCTGCTGGTCGCTGTGCGTGATGGGGGACAGCCACCCCTCTCTGCCACCGCCACTCTGCTCCTGGTCTTTGCGGACAGCCTACAAGAGGTACTGCCGGATCTCAGCGACCTTCCCGCACCCTCTGACACCCAGGCTGAGCTGCAGTTCTATCTGGTGGTGGCCCTGGTCTTGATCTCCGTGCTCTTCCTCCTCGCGGTGATTCTGGCGGTCGCCCTGAGCCTGCGACGCTCCTCCACCCCTGCTGCCTGGAGTTGCTTTCAGACTAGTGGTGTCTGCTCCAAAACTGGACCTGGGGTTTTTCCCAACTACTGCGAAGGGACTTTGCCCTATTCCTACAATTTATGCGCTGCCTCACACTCCTCAAAAGCTGAGTTTAAATTTCTCAATATAAACCCTGAAAATGCTCCACCACACGATCTTCTATGTAATGAAGCCTCTTGGTTTGAAAGCACCAGTGATAATCCCCCAGTGACTTCTGAGTCAGTCAATTTGCAACAGGTGAGTTACTTCAAAACCTTTCCTCCCATAAGTATAAATAGGTTTTAATTCATTATTTTAGAGGTAAAAAGTATACAGGCTAAATATATTTTGATTTTGTGTTTTATTGATTTGGGGGGGGCATACAATGAGGGTGTTAGAAATTCTTTGTTTGCTTATCTGTGTTGCAATTGTTCTTTCATACGAAATCACCTTGTGATGATCTTGAAATTTTTGTTAATCCCAAAATAGTATATCCTGAAACATCTTAATACATTTGTACCTCACACTCTTATTATGAGACACATTATCTATATGTAATTAAACATAAATCCAGACAATTAAGTGTTTTTCTTGGTTTCAGTGCAGTCAGACCTAGGTTTATATATAATATAAATGTAAAATATCTTTTCATTGTAGCCCACATATTTTCACTTAATTTGCATGTTTTAAAAAGTATGCACAGATATTGGCTAAATTAGGGCAGTTCTTAATCTATATGTTGATTAATATAGATAATGAAATTTAAATATGACAACACTTCACTGTCACTAACTGGATTGGTTCAAAGGTGTTTGTGGTTGTTGGTTCCCTTATTGAAAATGGGACAAATAAATGATGGTGGGTATGATAATCCAAGACTTACAGAAAAGTGTAATATTTCTGTTCTCCAAGGCTGTAAGAGATATTGCCACAAAAATGAATGGTAAATTCCAGGGAGCATATAAAATTACTTAAAATAGGCTCTTTTGTTTTTCCAAATGCTTCTCATTCTTGGCGAGAGGAATTTTATGAGTGTCATCTATGCAGATTTAGCAGAATTCAGATCCTCTGTTATGATGGTTTCACAAAAACGGTGCAGTATTAAGTTAGGACTCTAAGCGTCGCTGTTCACTAACCCGGGTAAGGAAAGCAATGAGAATTCCAGTTACATCCTCCAAGCACAAAGCAGGTCAGGCACAAAAGCTCTGCAGCTGCGCAAAAATTCTGACCTAAAACGCTTTGCATCGGATCTCTGCTTGTTTATGGACCTTGAACTCTAATTCTGAGAAGCCCAAGAGCAATGCGAACCTGTTCCCCCTACTCATAACTCCAGAGAAGTCCACAAGGAGCCAATAATGGAGGCTCTGCAACGGCGCGGGCGCCACAGCCGGTCAGTCCTGCTTTTTATGCTCCTGGGGACGCTGTTGGGGGCCGGAGCCCGGGCCGGGCCAATCCATTACTCCATCCCTGAAGAGCTGGACAAAGGCTCCTTCGTGGGCAATATTGCCAAAGATCTCGGGCTGGAGACCAAGGAACTGGCAGAGCACGGAGTCCGCATCGTCTCCAGAGGTAGGACGCAGCTCTTTGCTCTGAATCCGCCAAACGGCAGCTTGGTCACCGCGGGCAGGATAGACCGGGAGGAGCTCTGCGCTCAGAGCCCCCGATGTCTGGTGAGTTTTAACATCCTCATTGAGGACAAACTGAATCTTTATCCCATAGAAGTGGAAATAGTGGATATTAATGATAATACACCCAAATTCTTAAGAGAAGAATTAGAAGTGAAAATTCTCGAAAGCGCAGCCCCATCTTCTCGTTTTCCACTAGTGGAGGTCTCTGACCCCGATGTGGGAATGAACTCTCTTCAGGGCTTCAAGCTCAGCAAAAATAGTCACTTCTCTGTGGATGTACCAAGTGAAGCTGATGGGCCCAAATACCCAGAGCTGGTGCTGGAGCGTGCTCTGGACCGGGAGGGAGAGTCTATTCATCACTTGGTTCTTACTGCCATGGATGGTGGTGACCCTGTCCGTTCAGGCATGGCTCGAATTCTAGTAACTGTCCTAGACGCGAATGACAATGCTCCAGTGTTTACTCAGCCTGTCTACCTTGTGAGTGTTCCTGAAAATCTGCCAATAGGTACACCACTGTTGTCAGTAAATGCCACCGACCAGGATGAAGGAGTTCATGCAGAAGTAACATATTCCTTTGTGAGGATAACAGAAAAGATCTCAAAGATTTTCTGCTTGAATGTTTTCACTGGAGAAATATCAATTTCTGCAAATCTAGACTATGAGGACTCCAGCTTTTATGAGCTGGATGTTGAAGCCCGGGATAGGTCAGGTCTACAAGACAGAGCAAAAGTCTTAATAACTGTCTTGGATGTGAATGATAATGTACCAGAAGTGGTAGTCACATCTGGAAGCAAGTCAATTGCGGAAAGTACGCCTCCAGGAACGGTAATCGCTCTTTTCCAAGTATATGATCGTGACTCCGGACTGAATGGCCTGGTAACATGTTCCATCTCAAGAAGTCTGCCATTTGAGCTGGAAAAATCAGTGGACAATTATTATCGATTAGTGACCAATACAATTCTAGATCGAGAACAGGTATCCCTATACAACATCACTGTGACAGCCACAGACAAAGGAGTGCCCCCTCTGTCTACAGAAACGTTCATCTCTCTAAATGTGGCAGACACTAACGACAACCCACCTTCCTTTCCCCACTCCTCCTACTTTGTCTATGTCCCTGAGAACAACCCCAGAGGCGCCTCCATCTTCTCTGTGACTGCCCACGACCCCGACAGCAATGAGAATGCCCGGGTCACCTACTCCCTGGATGAAGACACCATCCAGGGTGTGCCTCTGTCCTCCTATGTCTCCATCAACTCTGACACGGGTGTCCTGTATGCACTGCACTCCTTCGACTATGAGCAGTTCCATGACTTGCAGTTGAGAGTGACTGCACATGACAGCGGGGACCCACAACTCAGCAGCAACGTGTCACTGAGTCTGTTAGTGCTGGACCAAAACGACAATGCGCCAGAGATCCTGTACCCCACCATCCCCACCGACGGCTCCACAGGCGTGGAGCTGGCACCTCGCTCCGCAGAACCTGGCTACCTGGTGACCAAGGTGGTAGCTGTGGACAGAGACTCAGGCCAGAATGCCTGGCTGGCCTACCGCCTGCTCAAGGCGAGCGAGCCAGGGCTCTTCGTGGTGGGGCTGCACACGGGCGAGGTGCGCACTGCTCGGGCCCTGCTGGACAGAGATGCGCTCAAGCAGAGCCTGGTGGTGGCTGTTCAGGACCACGGCCAGCCTCCTCTCTCGGCCACGGTCACGCTCACCGTGGCCGTGGCTGACAGCATCCCAGACGTTCTGGAAGACCTGGGCAGCCTAAAGGTTCCTCACAACCCTGACGCCTCAGGCCTCACATTGTATCTGGTGGTGGCGGTGGCTTCGGTTTCCTGTGTCTTTCTCGCCTTTGTCATTGTGCTGCTGGTACTTAGGCTGAAGCACTGGCACAAGTCGCGCAGGCTGCAGGCTTCCGGAAGTGGGTTGGTGGGCGTGCCCGCCTCGCACTTTGTAGGTGTGGATGGGGTGCAGGCTTTCCTGCAGACCTATTCCCATGAGGTCTCACTCACCGCTGACTCAAGGAAGAGTCACCTGATCTTCCCACAGCCCAACTATGCGGACACGCTCATCAGCCAGGAGAGCTGTGGGAAAAGCGAGCCTCTTTTGCTACAGGAAGATTCAGGTTTTTGTAAAGAGGAAGACTCCCTTGTTCAGGTGAGATTATTGCTTTAACTGGTTTTATTTGAATAGGAAATTTTAAAATTCTATTTGATCAGTGCTTAGTTTTCTTAGTGTTTTGCAGTGAATCATGTAATTTTGATAAGATTTTTCTTTATCAGTAGAGCTCTATTAAATCTTAGTTTTCTCAAATTTTACCAAAATAATCTTAATAATGTATGCCCTATCTTTTCTTTTTTAACTTTTCTCCTCTTGGCAAGCTCTTTGTTCCTATGATTACATACATCTTATTTCTTAAGTTTTTCTTTTCCATTATGTGACATTTCTGAGATTCTTGTTCTAGTGTGAAAACTGAATTGCAGTCTTTGTTTAAAAAGTCAATATTTTGTTTTTCTCCAATTTAATTAATAGTGAGTACTTTCTAAAATTATGGAGATCTGTGAGAGATATTTCCCCATTTACTACTTAGGAATAAAAAAATTATATAAAAGATCAAAGTAATTGAGAAGAAAGACCTGATCTTTTGTGGTTGAAGATCTTTGGATCTATCTGTTATTTACTTGGGCTAGTCATAATATCTACAATCTTCAAAGTAAAACTTAAAAAGACTTCTCTTATGTACCTCACAGAAATTATGGGAAAATAAAATATAATAAAATAATTCAATGAAAGTTTTTTCGAACTATAAAACAGTATAGTGAACAAATATTTGTTGACATCACCATTATTATAAGTATTGGGTTGCTAACAAATAATATACATCTAATGCTGTATGTGTACTACAATGTCTTCTGCAATTTGTGTGCTTGAAAGTTTTAAAAAATGAAAATGAGCCCTGGCTGGTTTTGCTCCATGGTTAGATCGTTGGCCTGCGGTCCAGGGAGACCCTGGTTCAGTTCCCGCTAAGGGCACGAACCTCTGTTGCAGTTTGTCCCGGGCCCTGATTGGGTCCTGTGGGTGGCAACCACTCGATGTGTCCCTTTCACGTTGATGTTTCTCTCTCTTACTCTCCCTCCCACTCTATCTGAACAAAAAAATAAAAAATAAATAAAATGTCCTCGGGTGAGGATAAAAAAAAATTTTTTTTTTAAAGAAAATGAGCCCTGGCTCAGTAGGTTAGTTGGTTAGAGTATCCTCCCAATACACCAAGGTTTTGGGTTCAATCCCTGGTCAGGGCACATACAAGAATCAACATACAAGTGCAACAACAAATCAATGTTTCTCTCTCTCTTCCCCCCTTCCTCTCTCTCTAAATAAAAATTTTTAATGAAAATGAATTTTTAAATATGCTCATTAGTATCCACTTACAGGATATATCTCTAAAAGTAGAGGAATGACTAGTGAATGGGGGAATAAAGACTTAATAGTGTTCAAATAAGAATTTAAATAATTGGCATATTTAACCCAGATAAAATAAGGCTCCACTGTGTAGGAACTCCGTTCAAATATTTAAGGAAAGGAGGGTTGTCATTTGAAAGAATAATTAGTCTAATTCATCATGACCCAAAGGTGTGATTGAAACTATGGCTTAATGAGTAGGAAAAAGAAAAGTTTTGAGATGTCAAAGTTGTTTGATCAGAAAATGGATTTCTAATGAGTTAGGAGATTCTATTATTGGCACTCTTCAAAAGTAAGTTGATGGCCATGGAATTAATATACTAGGGATAATACAATATGATAAATCATTGAAATACATGATAGTCAAGTTCTGTTCCAATTCTGAGCTGGAGTATTCTATGATCTGATAAATAAAAGATTTGTCACTTGTGCATCTAAAATAAACAATTGCACATGTAAAATAAACAATTGAGAAGATACTTTGAAAATGAATGAGAACCTCTTTTATAACCTGAAATTGTCAGTCTTCATAAAAACTGATTGAAATGATGTTCTTAAATTAGCTGCTAAGGGTAAGATATGTTTTTCTAAATCAGTATTGTGGTAATTACACTTCAGCAATTGTAGAATTATTCATTTCAAGATTCCTAATGACTAACCAAGAGACTCCAGTCATATACATTTTCAAATATGATTTACTTGGACATTTATGATATAATTCTTTGATGGTTTTAATTATAATTTAAATAGTAAATCACAATTTTAAAGAACTTGGATCTTGGGTATTGGTCAAGGGAGTCAGATGGTATCTTATACAAGTATTATGATTTATTTCATACACTCTGAGAATGCAAATGTTATTATAATACCAATTCTGGATGATTTTAACTATATATTGAACCTTCATAGTTTTAGGCAATGTTTACTAACTGGTTTCATGGGTAGTACAATGGTTTATTTTATTCTCTTCTCTGCTCACTAACTGGGATAGTAGCTGCTTTATTTTATGTTATTTAGAGTGAGCAAGCAAGAGAAACATCACTTTGTTGTTCCACTTATTTATGCATTCATTGATTGATTCTTATATGCCCTGACTGAGGATTGAACCTACAACCTTGGTGTACTGGGAGGATGCCCTAGCCAACTGAGCTACTTGGCCAGTGCAGTAGGCTGGTTTATTTTATTCTCTTATCTGAGTCACCTGTGACCATTTTATTTAAACAAAACATACTGACAGGAAAACTATCAGATTCTACTCTCACAATAGTAACTCACTCATGTGGACTGACGAAGTGTTCAGTCTTGCAAACCATGCTGAGTTCTGACTAAATGAGGCTCTTTGACCTACATACCATATGAGTTATTTTGAATAAAATCGACAGTCTGAGATTTTGAACATATACTGAATTTTGAAGCATCAAGAAAAAAATCTACCAAATTACTGGGCTATTTTATCATCTGTGAAAACCAGCAGTGTCTGACCAAACATCTGTTGAAGCAGCAATTACCAAAGAGGAAAGAGTAAAATCTCAGAATCATTGGGAAATACCTATATCTTTGCCTGAGAATGACAACCTAAACAGAAGTCCAAACAAATGGTTCTTCAATTAAAAAAAAAAAAGTTTTATAAAGAGAAGTCAAATAGACTTTCCATATAGTTTTCTAATGCAAGTAAACAAATGAAGGTCAAGATTCTGCCCCCAAACTACATCAATAATAACATATTCCCTTTAAAGCTATAAAATTCTTTTTACTTTGTATAGTAAATTTTTGTTATATTTAAACATATTGTGATGTTCTAGTAGAGATCCCTAATATTTCATTTTGTTGTGAAATAACTTAGAAAACTTGATATTAGAGGTGATGTAGTTGTTTACTCCCTAAAGTATATTTATGTTCAGAGTATGTCTATAATCTCATTTGTCTGGATATTATTTAACTCCAAAGAAAGTGCCCAAAAGTAATGTTAATTGATATTTTAATAAATAGTAGAATAAGAGACAAATATGAGATAACACTATGAATTTTGAAGTATCAAATAGAAAAAAAAATCATAGCATTGGGGGCCACAATATCCAGACATGAAAGTTTTATTTGCAAATGTCTACAAGAACTCATACTTGTGATTTTTTATAACCATTCGCTTTGCTTGCATGAGCATGAAATTCAAAATTACTACTAAACAAATAGTATTTAATTTCTGTTTATGGAATTAATCTATAATACTCATATTGGTTCCTTTGGGGAAAAAAGTTTTTATCTGCTTGATGAAAACAAACATGGCTATGAATTATTTTGATAAATTAAAACAGCATTTCATTCAAAGTATTTCCTATATTTTGGAGCAATGCCATCAGAGAACACCAACTAAGCTAAACATTTTCAATGTTACCTCTAGTTCCTTCTCCTGGTGCTGCTAGCTACTCCCTTGGGGTTTAAAGTGATTTACAAAGCAAGGTTATGTCTTGCTAGGTCTTCATTCCAGGTCACTTTCTTTCTCCTGCAACTGTGTGGAAGGAATTTTATTTCTACCAGCTCAGGGTAATCTCAGATCCATCAACAATTGAGTTTTGTTTCATTAACATCGGTGGAAAAATGAGTGCCTCTAACAGTCCTGAATGTATGCTCAAAGGCTGTCTGTCTAGAGATCCACCTTTCTTCAATTATTCTGGAATAGGGTAGCAAGTTTATTTGAATTGCATAATGAAAAGAAGCAGTCGAGCCAACACCCTTCTTATGAATCCACAACCAGCAGAACATCTGCTTATTTTGGCCTTCTGTACAAAATGAATTGTTTTTACAGCTGATTATTGCTGCTTGGCTTCTCATCTCTAACAGCACTTTTTGAGCATAAAGTATCAGGTAAGAACAACAATGATTTCTCTCTTTTTTTCTCTCAAAAAATGGGAGTGAGGACATGTATATTCTGACATTGGTTCTATTACTACATAGTCCAGGACAAAGCAATTCCCTCTACCTTTTTAAATCATTAAAATGAAGGTATTGGACTAAACCATCTCTAAAGTTTCATCCAATCACAAGCTTTATTATATCACCTCTTCATAATATAAAGAAATGTTTGACTGTCTGAGTTTTACATGGTGGTGTCTAGAGCATAGCATGTGCTCAATAATATTGAATGAATTGAAATTCATTTTACTCTGAGGTAAACATTTACTATATAACATCTTTCTTATGTACACACACACCTTTTAAAAATAAATCATGTTATTTTTTTTACCTGCAATGGTTGATTTTCTCTATGTGCAATAAAGTATGAGGCAATGCCCAAGAGTAATTTCAAAGTTGCAATGCAAACCAAGGACTTTTCAAAAATCATCAGGGTTTAATAAACACCCATCCATGAACATTATCGCATCAATTCAAAGTTTCTTAAAATTTATTTTTACACGATATCGGAGATATATGGATTAAAGAAAAATAAACGGAAGAATTTTGAAGGATAAAACACATTTTCTGAAAAATCAATTATTTTTGCTTCAATATGGTGCAGTAACATAGTAAGGGCTCTGGGCGCCGCTGTTCACCAACCAAGAGAAAAAAAACCCTCCAGAACTACCAAGTTTTTACAGCACAACGGAACGCCAGGTTGAGACAAACTCTTTTCCAAGAGACACCAAACTCAGACCTCTACTCTACTGGATTTGGGGCTCCTTTTCCGAATACAGAGGGTTCCACGCGGATACACTAGCATCCGGAAACAACAGGAGGTAGCCCAGGGTCGAAGGATCCGCAGGACAGCAATGGCGGCTCCGGAGAGGGGCGGGGATTACAGAGGATTCATCCTGCTCTCCATCCTGCTGGGGACCCAGAGCGAAGCTTGGGCAGGACACATTCTCTATTCTGTGCCGGAGGAGACAGACAACGGCTCTTTTGTGGGTAATGTCGCCAAGGACCTGGGACTGAGCGCTCAGGAGCTGGCGGAGCGCGGAGTCCGCATCGTCTCCAGAGGTAGGGCGCAGCTTTTCGCTCTGAACCCGCGGAGCGGCAGCCTGGTCACCGCGGGCAGGATAGACCGGGAGGAGCTCTGCGCTCAGAGCGCGCGCTGTCTGGTGAGTTTTAACATCCTGGTAGAAAATAAAATGAATCTTTACGCTATAGAAGTGGAAATAATGGATGTTAATGACAATGCTCCTAAGTTCTTGACGGAAGAAATGAATGTAAAAATAATGGAGAATACAGCTCCTGGGATGAGATTTCCGTTAAAAGAAGCGAGGGATCCGGATGTGGGCACGAACTCTCTCCAGAGCTACCAGCTCAATCCCAATCGACACTTCTCCCTGGTTGTACAAACTGGAGACGACGGAACTAAATATCCGGAGTTAGTGCTGGAGAGGGTGCTGGACCGAGAGGAAGAGGCGATTCACCACCTCCTCCTCACAGCCTCTGACGGTGGTGACCCACCCTTATCTGGCACCTCCCTCATCCAAGTAGCAGTGGTGGACATAAATGATCATGCACCAATTTTCTCTTTACCTCAGTACCAAGTAACTGTCCCTGAAAATGTGCCGGTGGGCACAATACTGCTCACAGTAAATGCTATTGACCTAGACGAGGGACTCAATGGAGAAGTGACATACTCTTTTTGGAAAATGACTCCAAAAATTCTACAAATATTCCAACTGAACTCCCACACGGGAGAATTATCAACGTTAGAAGGCCTAGATTATGAAGAATCTAGCTACTATGAAATGGAAGTTCAGGCTCAGGACGGTCCTGGTAGTATGACAAGGGCTAAAGTCCGGATCACGATTTTAGATGTGAATGACAATGCCCCAGAACTGACTATAACATCGGTAAGCAGCTCAATCCCTGAAGACACTCCTCCTGGAACAGTAATTGCTCTTTTCTACTTTCAAGACCGAGATTCTGGGAAGAATGGTGAGGTGACCTGCACTATTTCAGAAAATCTGCCTTTCAAGTTAGAAAGATCAATAGATAATTATTACAGATTGGTGACAACAAAACAACTAGACCGAGAAATATGCTCTGCATACAATATCACACTGAAAACCACAGATGGTGGAACCCCGCCCTTGTCCACGGAAACTCACATCTCAGTAAAGGTGGCAGACACTAACGACAACCCACCTTCCTTTCCCCACTCCTCCTACTCTGTCTATGTCCCTGAGAACAACCCCAGAGGCACCTCCATCTTCTCTCTGACTGCCCATGACCCCGACAGCGACGAGAATGCCCGAGTCACCTACTCCCTGGATGAAGACACTATCCAGGGTGCTCCTCTATCATCCTATGTCTCCATCAACTCTGACACGGGTGTCCTGTATGCACTGCACTCCTTCGACTATGAGCAGTTCCGTGACTTGCAGTTGAGAGTGACTGCACATGACAGCGGGGACCCACAACTCAGCAGCAACGTGTCACTGAGTCTGTTTGTGCTGGACCAAAATGACAATGCACCAGAGATCCTGTACCCCACCATCCCCACCGACGGCTCCACAGGCGTGGAGCTGGCACCTCGCTCCGCAGAACCTGGCTACCTGGTGACCAAGGTGGTAGCAGTGGACAGAGACTCAGGCCAGAATGCCTGGCTCTCCTACCGCCTGCTCAAGGCGAGCGAGCCAGGGCTCTTCGTGGTGGGGCTGCACACGGGCGAGGTGCGCACTGCGCGGGCCCTGCTGGACAGAGATGCACTCAAGCAGAGCCTGGTGGTGGCTGTTCAGGACCACGGCCAGCCCCCTCTCTTGGCCACCGTCACGCTTACTGTGGCCGTGGCCGACAGCATCCCAGACGTTCTGGCTGACCTGGGCAGCCTGGAGGTCCCACAGGACTCTGATGCCCCAGCCCTCACTCTGTACCTGGTGGTGGCGGTGGCCACCGTCTCTTGCGTCTTTCTAGCCTTTGTCATTGTGCTGCTGGTACTCAGGCTTCGGCGCTGGTCCACGTCGCGCCTGCTCCAGGCTTCAGGACGAGGGTTGGAGGGAGTGCCGGCCTCGCACTTTGTGGGTGTGGACAGGGTGCAGGCTTTCCTGCAGACCTACTCCCATGAGGTATCCCTCACCTCAGACTCTCGAAAGAGTCACCTGATCTTCCCACAGCCCAACTATGCGGACACACTCATCAGCCAGGAGAGCTGTGAGAAAAAGGATCCTTTGTTAGCACCCATAGATTTTCAAGAATGTGAGGATGAAGCCCAAAGTATTCAGGTGAGTTCAGTCATTTCATTTATGTTTATATTCTTGAGGAATACTATTTTGTGTAAATATTTATTTTGTGAAGGCAGTGTTTTGAAGATGTGGTGAAAAAAAGCTTAAAAAACTAAAGCATGTTAAATGTTTTATTTGAGTGGTGCTACTTTAACATGAAACACTTATTCATGTAGGATTTGGTATCATTTCCATAGTAAATGCCTACGGACAAGATTGAGAATAAGTCACATTTTTATACCTTCCAATAATTTCCACTTGATGTACTTAATTCATGCAGTTTATAAGTGAGAATTAATTATGTATTTCTCATAGTAGGTTAGCAAGGGACTTCTCAGGATTCTCTTTAGATCAGATCTATAAAAGGTTCTTGCAGATTGTTTCCATTTGAAGTTTTTTTCTGTGTCTATCTTCTGCCTCCATGTACCTTAACTTGAAGGCCTTGAAAAATATCCATTGCTTCCTGACCTATTTAAAGCATATTCATCTATTAAAATGGGTCCTGGTGGAAGGTTGGGTAAATGCCTGGGGGAAAAAATGTGTGTGTCAAGCTTCACTAAGATCTATATCAATGGCAAAGATGGAGTCTAATGCCACACTGAAGGTCATTTTTCAAAACCAATAAAGTATGGTGTCAAATAAAATGTCTTTTCAAGTATTATAAGTGGCATTTGTGAACTAGGCAGTTACGTATTTTACCATACAATTCCTGCGTGTGGTTTTAGTGGTAAAGCCATGTGAAATGTGACTGTGGGCTCTCCAAGTAGTATACTGGGGATGCTGGCTTTAGGGAACAAATCTCTCACATACTCAAGTCCTAGACCAGTAGTTGGACTTTACTTATTGGGTCTGCTGAAAAATCCTGCCAGAAATAACCTAATCTGGGACTAACTACTTCCATAGTTTAAGTCAGCAATTTTCAACCTTTTCATCTCATGACACACATAAACTAATTACTAAAATTTGTCAGCACACCAAAAAATATATTATATTTTTTCCAATCTGACAAAAAATATAGGTATAATTTTGATTCGTTCACACCGGATGGCTATTGTTGTGTTGGTTGTTGTCATTTTTTTTTAAATTTGAGATCTAGCCCTGGCCAGTTTGGCTCATCGGTTAGAGCGTCGGCCTGCGGTCCGGAGAGACCCGGGTTCGGTTCCCGCTAAGGGCACGTACTTCGGTTGCAGTTTGTCCCCGGCCATGGTTGGTCGTGCGGGTGGCAGCCACTCGATGTGTCCCTTCACGTGGATGTTTCTCTCTCTCTCTCCATTCCTCTCTCTCCCTCCCACTCTATCTGTACAAAAAATGGAAAAAATATCCTCGGGTGAGGATAAAAAAAAAAATTTGAGATCTAAGGGAAAAGAGTTCAGTGCTCCTGACTAAATAATTAGGTACTGCATGTTTTAAAAATCCTTGTGACACAACAGCGTGCCTGCCACGGCATACTGGTTGAGAATTGCTGCTTTACATATAAAATTTCAGTATAGCCCAATGCATCAGTTGATTAGCATCTGGAAGAGGTTGATGACAAGGTAATCTTGTTTGCTGGGACCTTTTGAGTGTTCATTTAAACATTTCTAGTATAGTGTTGTGTTTGCTGGTATTTTCCATATAAAGAAATATGCGGTGATGTGAGTATATTTCATATATTCTGTAGTGTTCAGATGTACACTCATTTGGAGAATGGATGGTGTTACTGATACTTTGTGAGGCAGAAATGTGGTTATCAGGTATATTGAAAAAGAAAATTCTCCCATCCAATTTATTAGATGCTTAGAAATATTTAAAAATATGTTTTGTATTTAAAGAGGAAGGGAAAGGGAGAGAAATATTAACAAGGAGTAGCTGCCTTCTAAACGCCCCCTGCTGGGAATCAAGCCCAACTCGCAGAATCAGACTGGAGACCTGGTGCATAGGTCAGTGCTCAACCACTGACTGAGCCATAACCACTGGGCTCTTTTTTAAACAAAGGAGAAAAAGTGTCACTAAGCTCAGTGAGCTACTGCAAATTAACTTTCTAAGAATTATTTCCTTGATTTCAAGCCACACAGACATGGGAACCATGCCTTGGTGTAATAGACCATAATTAGTGACTCTGTGTTGCAAGGTGAAATATTATTCCCCTGGTAACTTTGAGAGGTGATGTTACATTTCATAACTAGGAAAATAATTGTTCAATGGGAAAGAAAAGGGTGGGCCAACTCCTTTCTGGCTACATTATTTCCTTGACTGAAATACTAGAAGTTAAAATCAGGTAATATTCTATAAATAAATCACTGAAATGATTTTGGAAGAAGAGAGGTATTTGGAGGTAAGTATAAATTGTGCCCTTTTAAAGACAATTTCAGCATCATTGCTGATGCTCTCTGAAAAAACGGAAGTGAATGAGCATGGAGGTACCCAAAACGTAAAGAAACACAAGGGAAAAAAAGAAAAAGAAACAAAGGAAGAGCCCTGGCCGGTTTGGCTAAACGGTTGGAAAGAAAAAGAAACAAAGGAAGAGCCCTGGCCGGTTTGGCTAAACGGTTGGAGTGCTGGCCTGCCCATCAGAGAGTCCTGGGTTTGGTCCCCCCTCGGGGCACGTACAAAAACAAAAAACAAAGGAAGAAACATAAAACTTTATCCAATGTGTTGACAATTAATAAGTCTTCAAAATTACTGTACTCTGAGATAATTTAGACCAAGTCTGTGTTGTAGTCATCTTTCTATTAATAGTGAAGATTTGAAGATTGGGCAATGATTATGCTAACATATAAAGTTTATATATTAAATCTGTGTGACTTTTCTAAAACTTGGGAAGTTGTGAAATGACGTTTCTAGTGGTACAAAGTAAACATTATTAAATACATAGACACAAAAATTGTTCACTCGGGTACACGATTATAATTACTATAGCTCATTAGACTGAAGAAGCAGAGGCTGCAGTTTCCCAGTGCGGACTCTGGGCGCCGCTGTTGACCAGAGCGGAGGGCTCGGCTCTGCCGATCGCTTCGCGCAGCCGCAGCTCACTTTCCTCGTCTCAGACCCGCTAGAGCGACCCTTTCCACCGCTTCCTCCTCTGGAAAAGAAGAAACTCTGACCCCCAGGCAGAAACTAAAGCCTGTTCGGAGCTCCGAACGTCTACAACACAGGGATTACTTGTCGTCCGGCGTCGTCAGGCCGGTGAGCAAGCTGAGGGGAACAAAAGGGATGGGGAGCGGCTCTGGGGACAGGGGCTGGGCTGAGCGGCGGCCAGTGCTCTTTCCCTTCTTGCTGTCTTTGTTGTGGCCGGCGCTCTCTGAGCCGATCCGCTACAGGATTCCCGAGGAAATGCCCCAGGGCTCGGTGGTGGGGAACCTCGCCAAGGACCTGGGACTCAGTGTGCGCGAGTTACCGACTCGAAAACTGCGCGTCAGTTCTGAGAAGCCTTACTTCACTGTGAGCGCAGAGCGCGGGGAGTTACTTGTAAGCAGCAGGCTGGACCGGGAGCAGATATGCGGGAAGAAGCCAGTCTGTGCTGTGGAATTTGAGGCTGTTGCTGAAAATCCATCGGATTTTTACCACGTGAACGTGGAGATCGAGGATATTAATGATCACAGCCCGAAATTCATGCACAATTCCATTGAGCTGCAAATAAGTGAGTCTACAAAGCCTGAGGCACGATTTATCTTGGGATCTGCCCATGATGCAGATATTGGTACCAACTCACTACAGAGTTATCAACTCAGTCCCAATGATCATTTCTTACTAGTGAATAAGGAGAAATTAGATGGTAGTAAATACCCTGAGCTAGTATTGAAGATGCCTTTAGATCGGGAGGAGCAGAAGTCCTATCACTTGACCTTGACTGCCTTGGACTGTGGAGATCCACCCCTAAGCAGCACTGCACAGATACACATCTTAGTGACTGATGCCAATGATAACCCTCCAGTGTTCACCCAAGAGTTATACAGGGTAGGCCTTCCAGAAAACGTGTTCCTAGGTACCACTGTGCTTAGAGTGATGGCCACGGACCAGGATGAGGGTGTCAATGCCGAGATCACCTTCTCTTTCACTGAAGCAAGCCAGATCACCCAGTTTGACTTGAATTCTACTACTGGGGAAATTACAACTCGAAATACATTAGATTTTGAGGAAGTCAAAGAATATTCCATAGTTTTAGAAGCAAGGGATGGTGGAGGAATGATTGCCCAATGTACCGTGGAGATAGAGGTCCTAGACGTAAATGATAATAATCCAGAAATGATATTCCAATCTCTAACAGATCTTATTCTGGAGGACGCCAAGTTGGGAACATACATTGCTTTACTTAAAGTCCGCGACAAGGATTCCGGAGACAATGGAGAAGTTACTTGTAAATTAGAAGGTGATGTTCCCTTTAAATTGCTAACGTCTTCAAGAAACACGTATAAATTAGTGACAGATGGAGTTCTAGACCGCGAGCAGACCCCTGAATATAATGTCACCATCACAGCCACCGACAGGGGCAAGCCACCCCTCTCCTCCAGCACTACCATCACCCTGCACATCACCGATGTCAACGACAACGCTCCGGTTTTCCAACAGTCCGCCTACCTGGTCCACGTGCCAGAAAACAACCCGCCCGGGGCCTCCATAGCGCAGGTCAGCGCCTCGGACCCCGACCTGGGACCCAACGGCCACATCTCCTACGCCATCGCGGCTAGCGACCTGGAGCCACGGGCGTTGTCGTCCTACGTGTCCGTGAGCGCGCAGAGCGGGGTGGTGTTCGCGCAGCGCGCCTTTGACCACGAGCAGCTGCGCGCCTTCGAGCTGACTCTGCAGGCCCGCGACCAGGGCTCGCCCGCGCTCAGCGCCAACGTGAGCCTGCGCGTGTTGGTGGGCGACCGCAACGACAATGCGCCAAGGGTGCTGTACCCGGCGCTGGGACCCGATGGCTCAGCGCTCTTCGACACCGTGCCACGCGCAGCGCAACCAGGCTACCTGGTCACTAAGGTGGTGGCGGTGGACGCGGACTCAGGACACAATGCCTGGCTGTCCTACCACGTGCTGCAGGCCAGCGAGCCCGGACTGTTCAGCCTGGGGCTGCGCACGGGCGAGGTGCGCACAGCGCGTGCTTTGGGCGAAAGGGACGC